TTTTTGGTTTATTTTACTCATTTCTTTTAATTTTAAAAATAGTTTCTGACTTTAAAAAATTACAAAAAAATTTATAAAGATATTTGAGTCCATTTCTGATTTTTCTATGGTCTTACTTTTTATTTCTTGATTAATTTGCACATATTTGATATTTTATCCCTTATTTCTATTATAAATATTTCTAAAACCTTTTTTTAATGTATATATAAAATGCAATATTATTTTGTGATTATTTTCTGGCTGATCTTGGGTTGAATTTTTGATCATGAACTTTATTAACATCATTGGATCCATAGTCTTGAGTCTAACTCCATAAAAATGGATGAATGATTTTAATAATAGTTTGATTTAAATTTAATTCAAATGTGGTTTGTATGTTCTCTCCCACCCCTCTTCTTCTTGTCCCTTTCTCATTGCACTAAGTGTTATTGGAGCATGATCTCAATATCATGTCTCAAAACAAATGGTGCATAAATTGCCATTGGCCGGCCTCAAAATAGGTGCGACTTCTACATAAGTCCACTTACGATTTCTTAACATAGTGCTAAATTTTGTCCTGATTCGAATAAATGATCATTCGTGGCCCAAACTTATGTTTGCAAGGCCAAGTATGTTTATTTGATCTCTTTGATCCAATAACCTTGAGATTCATTGTGTGGAGGCTTTGGTTCTACCAATCCTCTAATAGATCTACAACACTTTTGGTCAGCGTGGATCACTTAAACATCGTTGATCATTAAATTGTACATTTGAGGATTCCAAATGCATGATATACTTGACAAAAAGAAAATGCAACTTTTTGCGTGGAGGCTTTGGTTCTACTAATCCTCTAATGAGTTTCAAATGCAAGTTTCAAGATGGTCATCCAACTAACCACTATTTATTAAATTGTTTTTACTTTATGCCCTTTTATTTTTATTTTTATGCTTTATGTACCATTTACTTTAAGCATTACATTTCATGTCATTTTTATTTTGCTCACTTGGGCCTTTTTCTTTTCTCTTCTAAGACACTTAATAATCAACATGAACCATAAAAAACTTTAATGATATTTGGACCATTTGGTTACTATCCTTGGCATTATGGAGTATTGGACTTCTTGGACTTAGGATTAGAGACCTTGGCCTATGTTAGAGACCTTGTGACCTTAATTAATATTTTGTCTGGACTTCTTGAGGTTTACCTCAAGACATTGGGTTGTTCGTTTGTTTTATGCGCGGGTTATTGTGATTACATTCTTTGTTTGTAATCTGAAATTCACTCATATACAACCGTTACTCTGCCTAATTTTTATGAAGACTTAATACACTTGAAGATTAGTTCTCTCAAGAGGTCTAATACCTTTTCTTGCTTGGTTTCAATCCAAAGAATAAGAATTCTATCTTGACTCATAATGTCAAGTATTGGCTTCTTATTGATTAGATGGTACCTATCCCTAACTTTTACTTTATGCTTTAGGATAGCCTCTTCTTCTCCTCCCATCTTCTTAAATTTAAAAAGATCTTCTCCCTCTATTTTTGAAAATTCTTCTCATTTTTAAAATTGAACTATTTTCATAATAAACTTGGACTTAGGTCCATGCATTTTCAAAAACATCTTTCACAAATAAACTTCAATCAACATTAATAAAATCTAGACATTTTTTGTGAGAAGACTAAAAATCAATCAATCTCATTCAAACCATTTTTCTATCTTGGCTTTCATCTTAAATGTTTTCCCAAAAGATTAGACTATTGTCAATCCTTGTAGTGATGCAAACAACTATACTTCTATAATATGTAGTGAAGAGAGATATTTTCCACTTGGGTGTTGAGTGAGGCATTGTTGATTTTAAAATCCAAGTTATATCCTCCACTTTGAGATGATGCAAATTCTCCTTTCTCATGATTGTGGGTAGTAAGTATATTTTCCACACGGACAATGACGATGATGTTTTATCTCATAAAATCAACCAACACAATTATGTTTTAAAATTTTTAAAGAAGAACTACGCGTACCCTGATCCCCTATTGCACGAAAGGTGGTACATAGGCACTAAAGGTTTGCAACCGCGGCGGGTACAAAAAAAATCATAAAAATATATTTCTTTTCTCACCTCCACCATCTATTTTTATACAACATTTTATACCCAGAATATACAGATTTTACAAAGAGGTTCCTACGGAGTACCGTAGATTTTTAGGGTGCTAATACCTTCCATTTGCATAACTAACCCCCCTTACCTTGAATCTTTCCCCCTCTTTTTGGGTTACTCGCTCTTTTCCCATTCCTTTGGAAACAATAAAGCGTGGTGACGATTTTTATTTTGATCTGTATAAGTCTAGTCAATCCAATGGCTTAGTCTTAAACATTTCTACCGCTACACTCTGAAAACAGAAGTTCTAAAGATTCTTAAAACTTGAAGTTCTAAAGACCCAAGGTTCTAAGAAAAGGTTCTCACGACCAAGTGCTGAAGACTCTGAAGACGTGGTTTTGAAGACTCTGAAGACATGAAGTTCTGATGACCTTGTGTTATTCGCTTCTAAACTCATGCTCACAGAATCCTCTGAAGTGTAGAAGGAAAGAAGATAACATTAACATGTGAATCAACTAGCTGAAAATCATCAGACAGTGAAGTCGCCTTCGAACATCTTTTATTCCGCATAAAGGGATAGGTAAACTTCGAGAAAACATGAGAAGGGAAAAGTCATGGTCTTGTGACCGAGAGATCGAGTAAGGGAGTCTGTTACACAAGGGGAAGGTATTAGCACCCCACACGCCCGTAGTACTCTACGGTATCCACTCTTGTTGTTCTAATCAAAGGGTGTGTTTAATATAGCTAATTGCTTAATACTAAAGAAGAATGCATGAAAAATAAAGGAGAAAATAATGTAGGGAAAATAAAGTTGTGCTCGATTGGGCCCTACCCCAATTCCTACATATCCTTTTTAAGGAATTAGAGTTACCGTAGTTTGGCTCACATATTTTGTTGGTTTTGTGTTTTTTATGAACAATGTTAATTCCTCCATATGCCGCAACTCGACCTTTGGAGACTCACACGTTGGCACAGAAGTAAATTAACATATCCTTACCTGAAAATGGTTTTGAGTTACGCTCTCAAGGCAATATGCCACATTTGATTTGTTTGTGTTTTTCTACCTCGAAAAAGGGTTTGAATGTTATTAGGATGTTTTTGATTTTCTAAGAAAAGCAAAGTTTTAGTTTTAATGCAAATGCAAAAAAGGAAAAAAGAGTCTATGGGAGACTATCCTATTTATAATCCTAATGTTATCATACAATGATGGTCCTGCGTCAAGGATGAAAGGGAAATATCTACCTAATGTTAGCATGCATAGTTTGAAACCTAAGGTCTAAGTTGCATCCGAAAGGAACAAGCACGTCCTAAGGGAACATGGTATAGAAAGCGAGTAAGAAACAAGCTCAAAAGATCACACGCATAAAATGGTAAAGAAAAGAAGCGAAATGATTTAGTCCAAGGGAACGTATCACTCGAGACAAACAAGCGGGGGTGAGATGAAAAGACAAAAATGTGATATCCAAAGCGAATGAACACCTAACCCATATATAGTAGATTGAGGTAGGCGACAGAAGGCAATATGAACAATCATAGAGTGTCAACATCGGCCAATGTGAACTCCTAACAAAGTTTAGGGGTTTGATTTCAAAACCCTTCCAACTTGACAACTCGATAACAAGAGCAGGCACAACTCCGAAGCATCGTGGTGCGTCACGAGCTAAGGATGACACGGGCGAAATTGTGGGGGTTGATCGCAAACCCTCCCCACTCTCCTCTTTTTGAGGACTTATCATCTGTAACATATACAGACACAAATGTAAACACACGTGCAGAATACCTACTTCAAAGGTAGGGTTTTAAACAAACACACATAGCATACATAAAGCACACAATACAGAATTGCCCTAAACGGGTCTTTAAATAAACTAGAGGGATTCCTGACATGATCAGCAACAGAGATCCTTATCATACATCTCTACCCTACTTTACATGGCATCATAAAGCAGTAAAGACCTACTTCTCATGATCTATAGAAAAGCGATAAAAAAATGCGATAAAGTGCGGAGAAATACAAAGGTAGTAGCGGCGACTACCATAAGTAAGCCAATCGTCGAAGAAAGACGAAAGCAATGGAGAAGCAGGGAGTATGTGTTGAGCAAGCTTCACCAAGAAACAAACAAAATCAGAAACAATATCCAACTAAGATAAAAGTAAACGCGTGTTGCGAATGCAATGCATAATCAGAAGTTCCTGTACAAAGTATCACAAAATATCACATGTATCGGGACAACATATAATATGATATGAATTTCTCAGGAAAGTGAGAAATAAGGTGTATCGCATCGGAAGTGAGCAAAAGCATTATGCTTCGATCACATAACAACTTGTTATGTTACATAATTGAAAACATAAAAAATGTACCTTGCAAAATGAACAAACACGTCCAGATAACGAGGCACGACAGTATGAAAATATGGATAAAAACTAAAAGAAAAAGTATTTTTATTAGTTTTTTACGTGATGAAAATTCCATCAAATAATTAAAGAATTAATTTCTAAAATCAATTAAGAAAAACTAACAAATTTTATCGATTTTATAATTTATTATCAACAATCTATAACAAAAAATAAGGAAAATATAATGGAAATCTAAAAAAGAAATTAAACTAAAGGGGTGTAGCTGAAATCAGGGGGTGCTGTGGAAGAATGGCGCAGAGGCCCAAAGAGCCAGGGTCCAATAAGGATTTTTGTCCACAAGTTGATGCTGTACAAAATGATGCAATGGGCCAGGAGAGTGGTATTTTTTTGTACTAGCTTTAAATCTCCAAAAATATACGGTATTAGACCTCATAGGGGTGCAGCGTATGGATTGCTTAGAGGCCCAACATAATGAGTCCAATTCACAATGTACCAGGATTTTTGTTCATTGTTATTAAAGAAAAAAATTAAAAGAAATAAGAAAATTAAACTCAAAATGGTGCATCTGGGATAAAGTTGTGACCATTGGACTCTCATACTTCACTTCAAACTCTCTCTCTCTCTCGTTCTTAGCTTACCCTCTCAGAATTAGGTATACCTCCGCCACACTGTCATGCCTCCGGCGGTGGCTGTGGTGGCCTTCTTACTCGATACTCCAACCAAATACAGCGCTCCCTTCGTCTCGGTCAACCTGCCACTGTGACCTCCACCTACATTCATCGGAAACCCGATCTGCGGCCACCAACTGCTTTGTTCCCTCCTTCTATTGCCAAATATAACTTCTGCTTTTCGGGATTCCTCCTCAAATTTATAGATCTAAACGAACATAAAACCCTAGGAGTTTTAAACTGAAATTAAATGATAATGGTACCAACTTGTAGTTTGAGGCATTAGGGGAATTGTTCAGTAAGCCAAGATGAATGATATGGTAACAAGCTTTATGCAAAAAGGCAAAAAAAACGAGGGAGATTGGAGCTCACCTGCCGGAGTAACTCCGATGACTCTTCAATAATGACAACACCAGTAGAAATATAGTGAGTCTTGAATTCTTAGGTACGAACACTCCTCTTTGCCTTTGAACTCATTCTCCTTCTCCATCCTATTCAATTTTCTTCTTCTGCTATTGTTGTTACGATTCCGCAAAAATGAGACTGTGATTCGGTGTTGTTGTTGTTGAAGCAGGAGATTTGGAAATGAATTGAAGAAGGAATATTGATGATGAGGAAGGTGGAGCAGACTATGAAGATTGGAAGTGTTGGCGAGAGTTGAGAGTGAAGCTCTGAGCTTATGCCATGCTCGTATCAGAGAGCAGAGTTGAACGAAGTTTATTATTCGTTCTTGATTCAAGTGCATAGTAGAATTAATGTTGAAGAACCAAGAAAAGAAGATGATGATGTTGTAGCAGTAATAAACATGAAGGTTGAAGATGTGTTGGGGCTGAAAGTTGTTGATGAAGATGAACGATGAAGAGGCTTAAGGTTGTGGTTCAAAGAGAGTGATGGTGATGAAGGATCTGCAGAGGAATTTGTAGAAGATCATTTCAAGGTGAGTTTTTTCTCTCTATTTTATGTATGAGTGAATCGTATCCCCTCCTCTCCCTTTCTGTTTTTCTGTTATACTTTTGCTGGAAATTTGTTAGAGAGCTGGTTAGAGGATAGTTTGATAGTTAGTTACAGATCGGCTAGCTTTTCTTTTAGAAGTTGGTTAGCTGTTGAGCTGGAAAAAATTTTGTTATTGAAATTATGTTTAGTTTTTGTTACAGTTAGGGATTTGCTTGGAATTTTGTTAGTTGCTGCAACCAGAGGTTAATATTAGTTAGCTGACACTTTTTTGAAAATGAAAGTTAGTTATGTTGACTTGAAATAAGCTGGCACTATTTGTTAGTTTGTAATTCTTTTTATGATTTCATTTTTTATTCTCACGGATCTCTCTTCTCCTTCTTGCATTTCTGACTTCATTCTAAACCGATGCAGCCTGTTTCAATTAGTTTGGATTGGTGATGTTAATGGTTGCAGAGTAAATTGTTTTGTTTTGAGCTTAAATAATGTTGCAGCTGTTGTTTTTATGTTAATGGCATAATTATGATTTTCTAATTGTTAAAACATATGCAAGGCCATGGATGTATGTGGATTATAAAAATTTGTTTTGGTTATTGTGGATGCAGAAAATGTTGGCAGCTGGTGGTACAAGTTGGTCCAGGTTATTCGATTTGGGAAACTGTTAGATTTTCTATTTTTATCACTGATGGATACAGGTTTTGGAGGCATAACATCATGTTTTAGCCTAACTTTGAGGCTACTTTCTGAGTGCAACAGGTCACGACACTGGGCTGTTTTGGCAAGGCGTGAAGATTGGGCGTTCATGAGGCTTAGAAAGTTAGCACTTTAGGAATTTTAGGAGCATGCTTTGTAATTCTTCTCCTTTTGTAAACCTTCCAAATGTAACAACATTCTAGTTTGTGGTTTTCTTGATGTAACTTTGAATGATATTTGAACGAAGTTCACCTTTTTTTTCAGACATTCTAAAACTCCATGAATAATCCACAAGAACCTTGCAAATTCCATTGAATCATGCCGAAGAATGTTGTATTATTCAAATGGCTTCATTTTTTTTCTCATTTATTTATTTTTCCATGATATCTTTGAATGATTCTTTCAATGTCCTTGGGTGATGCTTAACCTATTGACATCATAAAGAATCCATGTGTTCTTAAGCTTTAAATCATGAATGGAGTTTGCTTGAAATTTGTAGACGAACTTGGGTTATGCCTTGAGATTTTTGTAATCGTGACCTGAACATGTCCTTGAGATTCTTGATACCATAAGGAATCCATGGATTAATACCTTGAATCACACTACTTGATATCACTTGGAAGTATTACATTCATCACACGTACAAACCCTCAAATCAACATTCTACGAGAAAATGAATCCCATACATGCCATATTTGATTAATGAACCTTATTCTTTATTGAATTAACCTTTAACTGAAGCAACATATAGTTGAAAGAATAATGATGCCTTGAACACAGAATAACCAAATTCAACATCTTACACTATGTAATACTATGGGAGAACTGACTTTTGGTTTTGTGGTTTATCGCAAATGTTGCAGATAGCAAGAGTTGCCACCATCTTTTCTTTTATCCAATAAAGGAAAGGGTGAAAAGAATAGGAAAGGCCTTTGATAATTTTTTTGAGTTCGGGGGATAGGTTATGAAAATGGAAGGTGATAGCACCCTTTTCATCCGTAGTTATCTACGGGCTCTTAATCGTTAACTCACTTTTTACTTCGTGTGTTCGAAAATATTTTGAAAATGCCTAAGTTCGTCAATTTTGTAATGATTCTCGTATCGTTGAGAATGCATACAAAATGTTTATTTTGAAAATATTTGTTGAAAAAGTTTTGTTGTGTGAAAGATGTTTTGAAATATTCGCGAGCAAGCGATTAAGAACTATTTACCTACTCAAAAAGTCATTGTTCTTTTCCTCCTCCTGTAGATAGTGTTTTCCTATCATTGGATGTGTGAGGGACATGCGTGGGTCATTGTACAGTCATAAAGGTAACTTGTATGACGCTTTAGAAACTTATCGTAAGGGACTAAGATCGTTTACCGAGGCAACATCGAAGGGTCATCGAGGTACTACGATCTTTTAACTGAGGGTCTTTGCTAAAGCGTCCCAAGTTCGAGGGACATGACTGTTTTATCTGAAGGCAATAAGTGGAGTCACCCTAGAGGTGCATGTGTGAATAGTGTTTTGTTTTCAGTTAATTTATCTTGCATATTAGGGTTATCTAACGTTTATTTTAGATTTTTCCATACACGCCTAATTACTATACATCTAGCAATTATAAGGAAAGCGGTAAAATGCGGAAAACAAATCTAAACTATTACAGGGCTTCATGGAAGAGGGATACAAACCACCAAATACGGGGAAAGAAATAAAGCGATAAAAATACTAATTAACTATTACAACCTTTAGCAGATACATAATTGCGAAAATTAGTGAGAAAATAAGTAAAGCGTGAAGATTGTAAAAATAAAGAGAAACAGAGAAATGTTTTCTCTTTGTGATTGTTTTGATGATAAAAAATTGGATGACTAACCTAATCTAATTGTTTTTTTAGTTTTAAAAAAGAAATTGATTATTTGAAAGAAAAAAATTTAATGATAAAAACCCTAAAGAAACTAGGTTAATTATTTCAATTAATTTAATTTTAAAAAGTTAATTTAATAAATTTTATAAAAAAATTCAAGTTAATTTGATTTTAGTTCATTTAGAAAAAAAATATAATTATATTAAGTAAACAAAAAATAAATTGAAACAAAAATAAATAAATAAAGATGGGCATGCAGAAGAAATCTATGGGGGTGTGAAAAGTATGGATCACCAGGCCCATTGAACTTCAATATTGAATCCAGTGGGGGTAGCTCCACGAGGGATAACGTGAGGACTTGCTATGGGTCCATTAGATCTGGATCTGTTGAGATCCAAAGGGGAGTGATAAGAGGGTGTATGATGTGCGCGTTAGCCTGACTTGTATTGGATCTGCAATCAAGAAAACATTTGAAATAAAGATGAAAATACTAGGGGGAAAGGATCGAACTCGTGCCCTGGTACAATAACGCCTTTGCAACACTCGCTTCTACCGCTGGGGCGGCTGTTTCATCCGTTAATACATTGAAACAAAATCTTTATAATATAAAACAACATGTATTGATCGGAGAGGCGCCGGAGCCCTAGCTCCAGTCGTCTTCTCCGGTAACATCCTTTTTTAAAGCCTACAAAACACGCATAATCAGTAATTCAAAAACACTATACCCCCTAAATCAAGGGCTGTGAATCCAATGGAGATATTTTTTTGGACTAAAATGCAAGGGATTGAGAGTTATAAGGAAAACTCATGAGATCGATGCTAGCATGGTGGCTCATGATTCAGGGTGCATGGGACTTCTGCGATTGTTATAACCTGCACTATCAACACTCATGGACACACAGGGACATTAGCACATGTTAAATCAAACAAGAAAACAAAATATGAATGTTATGAATATGATGAGGCCGACGATGTCATGCAGTGCGATTCACATGTTTTGGACCATCAAATTTGGTCCAAACTTACTCTGTTCTTGCTGGAACGATGGTTTTATGGTTAAAGGGCTTGAAAAAATAGGATTTGAAACTTTAGGGCTTTTAATAAAAGTTCGATGTTTTTTTTGGGTACAATTTTGTGGCAAGGATTCGTGGTCCTCATCTGATGTCTTGCCGTGCATATATAAAGAAAGGGAAAGATCAACCAAAATGGTATGAATCTTGCAATCATGGCCATGATCAAAACATAATCAAACATGTTTGGATTACACACGATTTAGCATGGCTGTCAATTTTCAAGAATTCTTGCCAGGTTTGGATTACACACGATTTAGCATGGTTGTCAAGTGTTGTCTTGGGCCTCCAACTGATCTAAAAAAACAATCTTGCGCCTTGGCCCAATGATTTTACATTTTATTTGATTTATTTGCATTTAAATGAATAAAAATTCAAATAAAAGAAATAAAAATCATAAAAAATATGTGAATAGAATTACAGGTCCTCTAACAAATTGTGGACATGTTTGAACATCAAAAGTTAGGCCCATTAGTCTAGAATTTCAAGTTTGCTAACTTTGCATTTCATGCTTTTTACCAAAATTTCCCAACTTGCAATGGTTATAACTCTCTTATTTTTCATCTTTTGAAGGTGATTTTTGACTTTTTGGAAGTCTCAAGATGTCCTCTTCAATTTATCTTTTGATCATTTTTGCATTTGGAGACTTAATCTTGATGTAAGTTGCCTTGACAAAAAGTATCTTTTTGTTGACTTTTGAAATGACCTATAATGTATGGGCTCATATCTCTCAAATGAAGCATTTTTTTGGACTTGAGCATTCAGATACAAAGTTGTAGAGAATTAAATTTCATTCAAAATGGGCTTTGGTTATGGAAAGGTTGATGAAGCATGTGAAAGTTATGCTAGGTCAAAGTTCAGTTGACTTCTCCTAAGGAAACCCTAATTTGGCAACTTTGGACTTTTGATGATTTGAAAGCTTTCCTTGAGGAATCATGATCAACACTTGACCAAATGATAAATATCACTTCAAGATGTTGATGTTGACCAAAAATCTTGAACTTTGACTGTATGTTGACCACAGTTGACGTTTTACCCAATACAGTTGATTTTCAATCATTTGAGCTATTGATTGAGAAAACTTGTGACGCAAGACTTGAAACTTGATATGAGAATCCTTGAAGACCGATGAGAACCATGGAAACCACTTGAAAACCTTGAAACCCAATTTTCCTTGAGAAACTCAAAACCCTAGTTGTAGACCCATTGCTTAGGAGGAGCATTTGTCTGATCAACTCTTGAGCATTCTTGAGCATTTGAGAACCCTAGAAGAATGTCTTGAAGGAAATGGGAAGGATAATTTTGGGGTACAACAACTTCCCCTGTTCAATCTTCTTAAACTTGAAGAGTTATATTATCATGTCTGCCATTCGTGACTTGAAGGTAGAAGATGATTGAACATTTAAGTGCCCAGAAATTTGCACTTGCACATGCACCAAGTAACAATGTTGGTTGATTATACTGAGAATCGGCTTAAAGATACCATTTGGGGCGGTGACGGAGAGTCATCGGAGATGGGCTTATAGATTCCATCAAGGATAAATGTTGACAAGAAAATCAAACTAAGTCTACGCCCGACTTGGTCTTAGAAAATTTATTTGGAACGAGTCTACGCCCGACTTTGTCCAAAAGAATAATCATAATAAATCTATGCTCGATTTTATCTGAACTAGAAGATGTCTACGCCCGACTTCAACTAGGAGAGGTACCAGAAAGAGTCTACGCCTGACTTTTCCAAAAATGGCATCAGAAAGAAATCTACGCCTAATTTCATCCGAACTAGAAGATGTCTACGCTCGACTTCAAGTAGGAGATGTACCAGAAAGAGTCTATGCCTAAATTTTTCCAAAAAGAGCATCAGAAATAAATCTACGCCTGATTTCATCTAAACTAGAAGATGTCTACGCCCGACTTCAACTAGAAAAGGTACCGGAAAGAGTCTACGTCTGACTTTTTCCCAAAGAGCAATAGAAAGAAATCTATGTCTGATTTCATCCGAACTAGAAGATGTCTACGCCCGACTTCAACTAGAAAAGGTACCGGAAAGAGTCTACGTCTGACTTTTTCCAAAAAGAGCATCAGAAAGAAATCTACACCTAATCTCATCCGAACTAGAAGATGTCTAAGCCCAACTTCAACTAGAAAGGTGCCGAAAAGAGTCTACGCCTGACTTTTCCAAAAAGAGCATCATAAA